TTGTGAAAATTTATATTAAACTTTGAATTAAATTTATTTTCTTATTTATAAAAGACATCGCTTTAAACGTTCAGTTCTTAAAGAATTTCGCTCCATTCAAATAGAAACTTCTCCAGATCAGTTTGGCATTTCTCCAAGGTATCAAACTTCATACCATTAGGGAATCTCTCCAAGAAAAAGCGGAAGCAATGCCAATTTCAATAAGCCAAGAGCGTTAAAAATAAGTTTATCGAACATTCTCTAATAGTTTTCTATACCTGCACTTTTTCTCTTTTTTTTTTTGTATAAAACTTACAAGTATCATAAAATAATGGACTTTCCTAAATGCAATTTTAATTTGAATTTATATGACTTTTTTGAATGGAAATATTAATAGCCAGATGAAATTATTCATTCTGTTTTTATTAATTAACTTTTATGAATGAAATTGAAATATAGTTGTTATTAATAAATTTTATATAATAATGTATTTTGTAGATGCATTATTAATATTTTATGAATAGAAATGAAGGAAAAGATGGTAGAATTTGTTAAATCTATTTTGAATGACCCAAGGGATGTGACCCAATATAGTTTCCGGAATTGGACGTATAAAGAGATTTACTAGGTGTATTCAGTTATATGGAAATCTACTTTGAATAAATTTTATTTTATGCAACAATCTTCCCATTTATAACCATCATTTTATAATTTATCAAATACTTCATGAAATGCTTTTGTAAAACTTTTGTAATGTTACAATTTCTGCTTTTAAAAAAATATTACAATATAACATTCTAATTTGATTGTATATTATATGAATAAATATTGTCGTTTGTTGTGGGGTGGAATTAATGTTATGGATTTATCAAAAATTATATTTCTTGTTTATCCCGGGAAATAAACAGTGAACGACATCAATTTGTTATTGATTCTATTGAAAAGCAAAATTTTTAATATAACAGTTTTATGTAATTAAATTTTAATTTATTTTTAATTTTCTATTCATTTTGTAGTTAATATCTAATTTATCTTAGTTGTAAATAATTTAAAGAAGGCTAAAATGTGAAATATTTACAATATTCAAATGAAGTTAAATATTATTTTCCATCATCAATCCCAACCATCAATTGAGAAATAAATTGTATTTTATTTACAATTTATTTTTTATAAAAAGTAACCCTCTAACAGTGATATTGCAGTTAAGTATGTATAAAGTTTAGAACGATTTCGGTAATTAGTATTAAGATAATTCAAATTGATGAAGCGTGTAGTTGTTTCTTGTTGCACCATTAGTGTAATTTTGGTTTTCGGGATGTGCCATCAATCATTCGTAGCGGCGGAATTTTACCGCCCCCAAAGGGTTTTGCGATTAATAATCCTACCCCGACTGGAACCTCTCGCAATCTATTAATATTGTGTTATGGCGAATGTCCCGGGACGCAGAGACACCTTCTCTTCTCCTCATCGAAGAGTTCGCATTTTCATTGCCACGGGTATTATGCAAAATCTGTAAATTGCTATAGCCTGCTACGTGATGCGGAGACTCCTCCGCTTTTAAATTAATTCTTTTTCCGCGCCGCAAATGCAGTTTGCATAACAAAAACACGCGGCACGGGGGCGACAGAAGCCTTTATGCAAATAAAGTTTAATTGCTGCTGGCAGTTCGCAAGAGGCGTGTAAAAGTTTTCACTGTTTTTAGAATAATAATAAGTATAATAATTCAGTCCGAAATTTTTCATTAGCTCTGATGCGTCCTTAAAGCTGGAAAACAACTGCGAAAAGAGAGGCGTCAAATGTTTCGCTCCACATTTCCTTTTATATCGCAATAAATCCGGGCGTCTGGAACAGGAATAATAATAAAGATAAAATTAGAAAGAAAAAAAATAGAAATGGGGGTTGAAGGGTGTCTGTAATTTTGAGCTCTTATCCTCGCACTGGTTGAGGTGTATTACACCCTGCAGACCTCGACGCAAACTGCCGGAGGGGTAAGTTTTAATCGGGATGAGAATATGGAGGAACGCTGTCTTTCTTCCTTCCTGCGATAATCCAATTTCTTAATACGAAAAGAATATTGAAAATCTTTCTTGCGTGTAAGTAATTACGCACGTGTGTGTCTGGATGTTTGGTGAGGAGGAGAGGTTATTGTTGTCGTCGCGTGTCTGGAACAAGATGCGGGACATGATGAATGTCTGCGACCTGATCCAAACTCGTCTCCAAACATCTCGCACATTCATCACGAACGCACATATCCATACACATACTCTTACACACGGTCGTTATCTCCTCGGAATCACGACGACTTCGGTATTCCTCACACGTCCAACTGCAGATCTCCAGCTCCAAGTCGACCCCATTTTATTGATAACACTCGGATACACACTTCAAACACGCAAACCTTATCGTCGACTCACGACTTCACTTTCAAACTGCACAAAATACTAGACATTTACTTTCTTTCCCTCATCTCTTCACCCATCTTCTCTTTTTTTTTACTGTTATCACCATTCCATACATTTTCACAATTATTAACATCTCAATGACTAATTTGACAACATAATTACAATTAATTAAACAATTCAATAAATAGAAAACAAAAACATTCTTCGATTATTAAATTTTAAAATAATTGAAAGAGATTGTATTTACAATCTGTCAAAAGTTTTATCTTCAAATTTATAAAAAATAGTTTTCATATTATAACTATTTAATAAAATAATTTCTATTTATTTATTAAGAAATTTTTATTTGGGAAATTTAATGTTACGACAAAATAAACTAATAAATAATATTATTATTAGACTAAACTAACGACAAACGATTTCACACGACAGAAAACATGCTTTGAACGACAGAAAATGAGATTGCACGATAGAAATATTGACAGATATTTCTCTTAGCAAGAAGAAAATGTATTTGATTTGCGGCACCTTCAACCATTTCCACCTTAATTTAGTTCCTTGGTTTTCTCAAGTTTGGTTTTGGTTTAAATCAAAGAAAACAGTCGCTAGTTTTCATTATAAATCAGACGTTTGAACGTTCTATTTTGAAGTGCTAGTTCAGATATGGTCGTGCTAAAAGAAATATCAATAAATATTTCTGTCGTGTAATCTCCTTTTTTGTCGTTAATTTGCCGATAAATCCAACTCATTTATATTTTCACTATTTATGCCAAACGACTACAAATCTCTGTCCTGATATTATTTCATTTCTGTATTATATAATTATCCCTGAATAACAGTATAATTTTCAGAGGTACGGTATTTGCAATTTAAATGTAATACATGACTAAACGTAGCTATTAGATATGACACTTAAAAGTAGTTTTCATTTTATAGTGATTTTTCTCAACAATTATCATTGTTTTCGAATAATTGTGGAATTCGTTATACTGGAGCTTTTTTAACAGGAGTAACGTTAACCAAGGTATATATTAAATAATAAATTAATAAATGGGTGGTCAATAGCTATGATCTGATACGAAAAGTGATAAGTTTGAATATCACCTATAATAAAATCCAGTGTGTAGTATATAAGTACCAAAAAGGTACTTATCGATAGAAAAATAAAAGAAATAAAATTCAAACATTCTGATGATACAATAAATACACAATAAATAAATAACTAATACAATTTGCATATAATATTCAATCAATTTTTCATCGAAAATAAATTTGTGAAGGACTTTATCCATTATTCAGAAATTAATTTCCCTTATTTGTATTTCATTTAGCCAATTATGCCGCGCAAAATTGTGTACGTTGTATAACATAACATTCACATCAGTTCATTTAATTAGTGAGATCAAATTTCTATAGATTTACAGTATAAGCAATGTTAACAAATTAATTACAAATATTTAGTATTTCGCATAATTTAATGAAGTTCTCCTGATATAAAATATAGACAGTTTCATATAATTCGATATTATTAACATCTGTTATGCCTTAATAATAATTTATTTATTGAGTAAAAAATATGAAGAAACATAAATTTTAATATTAAATAAAATCAAATAATAATTGAAATACAAGCTCCGATCAGTATGAATTCACTATAGTACGGTTTGAAAAATTCAAAACTTTAATTAAACAAAATAAAAATAAATTCTAAGAAAACATTACACAAAATTATTTTTATACGTTTTGACGGTAGATAGTCAAGACTCTTTTTATGCGGTTTATTGTTATATGTATTTAGGTCCTTGATTAGTCCGGTTTCCAACAATCCATGAAATTGGAGGAACGTAGTACAGGCACTATGCGAGCTATTGCTGTATATACGTTTGTTGAGTTTATAACATTGATATATTTATTTAACACTTATTAGTATTTAATGGATCATATTATGTGCTTGTTTTTTATAATAAATTCTGTATATATTTGTTTTTAACGGTATTTATTTCTCTCAAATACAATATCATGTATACAGGTTATTTAATTTGATATTATGATATTATAATTTTAATATACCGTATTTTCTTGTTATTGTTTTTGTTAGGATAATAGTTTGCAATCCTCATACTGATCTACAATATCATCAATATTTCATTTACATTACTTATGTTACAAGCTAATATTGTAGCAATTTAATTATAAATATTATAATGAATGGGTCACCCTATTCGTGGTGAAAGGTTGAGTAATATAAGTTTCAACAATGGTTACAGGCTAACAAAAGGACTAAACCGGAATAAATCGTATGCAGAGGAAAAAAGGACAAAGTAGATTGTTTAAAGACCGAGATTTATCGGGGTTCTATATATGTTTTACGACAAAAATTCTCGCCGAAAAATTCTAATAAAATGATTTGGAACGGCATTAAAAGAGGATTTATTACTCACGTTTTCAATTCCCATGCTCCGTATGTGTGCTGGATGCGCTCCTGGAATTGAGTAAGTGTGTGAGAAAGAGAGAGAGAGAAAAATATATGGAAAATGAGGTATATAGATCGAGTGAAAGGAGGACTGGTCGTAGGGTATGTTTTCTAGTATGTAGCATCATTTTTATTATTTTTTACAGCGTGTTCCGTGTCCGTGGGAGTTTGGACGTTGGTCGCAATTTCTGTGGAGAGATATTACGCCATATGTCATCCGCTGAGGTCGCTCAGATGGCAGACCATCAGCCATGCCTACAAACTCATCATCGCCATTTGGGCGGGCAGCGTAATCTGCATGGGACCCATCGCCTTACTCAGCCAGCTGAAGCCCACAAATCAAGGTGACTCTCGAAAGCTCCATTAAACTAATACACCTACATCAGCATAATACCTACTTTATATAATGTAAATACTCTTCTAAGTATCATTTTTTAGTTGTATCACTTTTTAATGTCACGAATTTGAATTCCACTGCAGGCGCATATAATTTAAATGATCCTGTATACTTTATTAGTCATATGTTTTTCAATATTTAAAAAATAGGATCTTACAATTAATTATAAATTTTATAAATTATGCTGAAAGATTTAGTAAATTGCTGGAGTTGAATAGCCAATGACACTTCATAAAAGAGACTCAGGGGTAAACCTCAAGTGGTGGAGCGAGGGTATCTAAAATTCTTGGTGTCCAACTTCATAACGACCAATTATGCAAGAGTTAACTCACATAAATTCCTTAAACTTTACTATTAAGTTTTCAGAAGAAAATTTTCTTTATTACTCGCAGGGAATCATAAATGCAGGGAAGATTGGCACACTTTGGACTACGAGAAGGCTTTCAACATCTTCCTCGACGTGGTGTTATTGGTGGTTCCCCTCTTCGTACTAGCAGTCACTTACTCCTTAATTACAAACACGCTATGCAAAGGAATGCAGACGGAGAGAACTCTCCGAGACAGCGGAGGTAAATAATTGGTTTCCAATTAATTCGATCAATTAACAGTACATTAGACGCAGTTAATTAACAGACTGTGTATCCATTAATTATCTTGCGTGTCTCTGTTGCTCCCACGTTTTTTTTTTTTTTTACAAATTTGTTAAATGTATTTAGTTTTCTATGTCGTTTTGCAGCTGGAGGTGTAGTTGAGGTGTACATTAACATGCAGAGCACGAGCAGCAAACGGTGGAGCCGCACTTCACGAGGCACCAGCCTACGCCAATTACGCCAAAATTGGTCGCAGGATTCGACCTCTCCCATTGGCTCCCAACGCACGGGTCTCAGACGATCCAATGCCGAACGAAGCCTCACCAACAAAAAGCGCGTCATCAAAATGCTCTTCGCCGTAGTCCTGGAATTCTTCATATGTTGGACACCCCTATACGTAATCAATACGATCGTCCTCTTTGATGCGGAAATCGTGTACAACAATCTGGGATACACGGTTATAGGATACTTGCAGCTGTTGGCCTATTCATCGAGCTGCTGCAATCCCATTACATATTGCTTCATGAATTGCGGCTTCAGGAAATCCTTCATGAAATTGTTCCGGTGTCATCGGGAGGCGCAATCGAATAAAAGCCTTCTCAATGGCAGCGAATTCAATATGGATACGAAGTGCGCCATCAGGAACGAACCACTCTGACGGACCACCTTCAAATCACCTGTAAATATACAACGCTGTACATATTGAAACTTACGTGAACGAAGCGAAACGCAATTTTCAGTGTTATTCATCTCATTGCGACATCTTCAGGCCTAAATCCTTCAAAGATAATCCTAACAAATGAAGGAAATAATTCAAATTGAATAATACATGTTTAGACAATCTAGTTAAAACGCACTTCAAATTATTTCCATTTCATTTCCAAGAGAAACATATTTTTTTACACGTATACGAATAAATTCAACACTTTTATTATATAGATTATATTTTATTACTTATATAAAACCTTCAGTTGATTAAAAATACATGGAATTAGAATCATTATAAACAGAATTAAGAATCTAATTTATTTATACATAATATATATTTTGTTATATTAAATATGTACAAAAGAAGTTTTATACATTTATTTAAATAACAATTTATTTTAAAAAATCTTTTAAAATTTCAATGCTTTTCAATATAAATATAATTTAAATATGGATTTTTCCTTGATTTTCAACATTTTTTTTTAATATGAATATTATCATAAAGAAAGCTAATAGTTATTAACAAAACTAATTAAAAAATATATATTTTTTTTACTTATTTTGAAGACTTTTCATATAAAAAACATACACTTTCTTTAACAAGAAAAAACACTTAATGTAGATAATTGTAAACACTGTAAGTATCCAACGAATACAGTTTCGTTTATTTTTTTTTAATATTTATTAACCTCGGCTCTTCACTCCTCAACTTTTTCAACACTTTTATTTTCACATCTTATTATAAACTTGCTGCCTTGCTTTTTTGGCAGTATTTACATTAAGTGAAGCTGCCACATTTCCACGTTTTAAATTATGAACTAAAAAAAAGGAGTGGGCCGAGAGGAAGGTGAATGTGAGAGAGAAAAAATATATATGAAAGAAGAAGCAGAAGAGAAACCGAAACTTTTCGCAGAGGCTAAATTACTTAGTGTATATTTTCTTAATTAAGAAGTTTCCTCCTTAGTAGATTACTACAGCGGATTGTTGTTAGCAAACTTTTTTTTATATATATATTTATAAAATAATTATGCTTTCTTTTTTATTACATTTTCTTTGATTCACTTCGTTTTATATATGTAAGAAATTATTAGGGATATTTTTGTAATTAAGCTATTTTTGGAAACTTTGAATAATTTAAATTTTATACTTACTATGAAAGAAGATTTTAAATTATACAGCAACGAAAGTAACAAATTTCTGCATAAAAATTATAAAAGGAAAGTAATTACAACATGTATAATAAATATATAATCAATTTTTAAATATATAAGACTGAAGATGTTTAAATTAAATGTAAATATCAATGGAATAAAATAGTCAAATTCAAAATACGTACTAAAACTTAGAAAATAATTATTTTTTGCATTTAGTCGGTTTATTAAAACATGTAATATTTTTTATACACAGTGGATATTAAATGATTTATTTTGTCAAATATTTTATTGTAAATGTTTAAATTAAAATCAATCAAAGAAAATGAATAAATTGATTAGTTTACGTTACAAAAAATATATTTCTTTTTGCAGGGTGTCCAAAAAAAAATGTATACACAGTTTGAATAATTATAATTTTTATTCACATTTTAATTGCAAAAGTATCTACATAAAATGCATCATTTTCTATCCTACCACACAAGTTCAAAATTATTACCGTTCTAATACACTGCTGATTACGGTGGCATTCCTTCTTATTCAACTGTTAATTCTTCTGGCGTCATCGGTTTTCTAGCATAAACTTTATGTATCAGGTCCTTGAAACAGACTAGTATTCTATTCATATGGTTGGAAGATTTTTATCAAGATATACTCTTACATCACAATGATAGGTGCTTCTTCCATTCTTGAAATGTTACAACGTCTTAAGATGCAATAGACACTTGATTTGCTGATGCCAATGTCACGATTTGTTTGTCTTATTGATTTTATTGGATGTTTCGCAATAACTTTCCAGTACAATTTCTTGGCTGGTAAAGCTCGGTGATGTTCTTGGTCTTCAGGAACGTTGTCTATGAACATACTGAATTGTTGCATTCGTTTCAAACTTATCTTTTATCCAATTAGGTGGTTCTTAATGTAACTCCCTACGATATAGTCTTTGTACTTCTGCTACATTTTCATACTTTCAAATAAATTTTCTTTTTTCAAAAGTTAATATTGGTCCACTTATTATTTCCAATTAATTACAGCCGCTAAAGAAAGAAACAAATATGACATGTTAAACAGAATAAACATTTTTTTGGGACACTCTGTATTTTATGAATATGGAAAAATCTAAATATATTAATAATAATGTTTAGTCTTAATTTGGAAATTTTATATGTAAATATGGTAATAAAAAGATGTATAATAGCTGCTTAGTGTAGATATTTAAGAAATCTTAGATTAACTTCCGAAGATATTTATATATAAAACTAGTTATTAGTATTGCCTAAATGGTATAACAAACGTGAAATTTCAATATAATATCAGTGTTAAGCAACTAGATTTAGTATGAAGACTTTAATCTATAATTTACCCTTAAAATATGTTGAAATGTTAGGACGATTGTTAGGTTTGATAATATTATCAAATTATATAACAGAATTTGTTATTAATGGATTTTATTGAAAAATTTCAAAACATTTTCTATTTTTGATTAACAGTCTTTCTGATAAATATAAATATATATAAAATAATTTGGAAATGCAATCATTTAGATGATAATAAAACAACAAATTTAAAAAACATTTAATAGAAATAAAATATTTACAAAAAAGGGAAATGCATTTAGTATACAATAACATCGATAAGTAAAATTACATATTTGTGTATTATATTTAAATGTAGTTATTATATAATTATATAAGTGTGTGTTAAACAGACATAATCTTAGATTTATGTAAAGAATTACGTCTATGTACAGAAACCTTTCAATTTCACGTATAAAATAAATATTTGTCTTTACAATAACAATCAATTAACAAATAAATAATATTACACAAAAAAAAGCTTAATCTCTTATATTTTATAATATATCAAGGACGATATTCAATAGACACACTCAATCTACAATAATTTACATAATTTAATTGGACGATCATTTTTTTAAACCTAATTAGATTAAATTTTAATGTATTTATATTAATGTCTTTATTATAAAATATGGTCAAACGTATTAATTATTGATGGATGCGTCTGGCGCAAAATTTTCATTTTTTTTTTACAAGTGTTTATAGTATATTTGATTATATAATTAAAGTTTGTTTAATTATTTATTGGTAAAATGTATTTCTTTTTTAATGAATTAAATAAATGTTTGACCAGTTTTTCTTTTAAATAATGTAGCGTATCAAAAAGTATTGTAATTATTCTAACATTCACAATATCTTATTTTTTAAGTAACAATTACAAAAATAGTTATAAATAAATAAAGTACACCATTACGATTTCTGCCTTCAATATAATAAATGTATACACACGTATTTACACTGTGTCTATGAAATACAGACTAGGAAATAAGTTGCATCAATACAAGTAAATAGCGTAGTCTTTTGTCTTCTGGAAAGTAAGAAACAAAGTTGCGGAAGAATGCGAACTATTTATGCTAGTGACAGGGCCATAAAGTTGAACTTAAAGAGGCAATCTAGATACATCTTGGAATTTATCAAACCTATACGGAGAGGAGCAAGTAAGCTGTATTTATGGCAGCAAAGCTTACCGTAGATCTTGTATAATTATTAATTAAGACCGTCATCCTTGGAAATTCAGACTCTCCCCTTCTTGAAAAACGGAACCGCCAATTACAAACACTTCTTCCTTCTCCAGACTCATCTGTTCCGAGGGATGCAAATTACGGTTTGCGGGTCTTAATAAATGTATTCAATAAACCGCTCAAACGTCGACGGTTTCCAATAATGAATTTGAATAACTTCCAAGGTGATTCATCATCAAGAGCATCAGCATGAACATCTTCCGTATGCAAATGAAACAATGCGAATGATGAATGCCTCGCGCTGCCCGCATTCTTATCGTTACATAATTTCAGGCGAACGCTGACGAAGATTTAGTGAAATGCATTTCTGTTATATATTCTCACGGAATTCTTGTATGCATCGTTAATGTATATGTTTATCTGTGTGACTTGTAAATACAGCATTAGAATTGTTAAGTGTATTCCATTTTATGTGTATATTAAATTAAATAAATTAAAATATATTTGCTTATCATTCATTCCTCTTTATAAAATCAATTCCTAAAATTACTTAATTAAACATCTTCATATTATATATTTTGATTATGTAATAATATATTTATCTAATTATAAAATGCCTAATATCAATCACCAACAATTTATATTATTTTTAATATAGAAGTTACAATTTTATCAAGTTTTATAATTATTTACGTGCACTGATAAATATTTTATTAGTGCTGTAACCATAAATATTAGCATTTTATATAGATTCATTTAGAGTTGAAATGTTTCATTCTAGTCACATTTCTTACAAAGATACATTTTGAAGCCACTTTGCACGTAGCGTTTTCCCCCATGCAATTGAGTACAAATGCAATCAATAGTGATGTGTTGGAGTGTGATATGTTATAAAGAATGCACTTTTCGATTGGATCCAGTAAAATAGTACTACACATCCTATACCACAATCAATCTGAATTCGAGAAAAACGATTTACAAAAAGTAGCTTAATATTTATCTTGGATTTTTCAATTTATTCAAATGTATTTATATCAACTTTAATTCTTAAACTATTGGTTTTTATCTATAATTTAACATATTTACAAATATTATTACAGTAATTAAATATTATATTTTTTAGTTTTCTATACAATTTATTTTCTGAATTAATTAGCTTCACTCTTTACATTTATTTTTGTAAATTAAAATAATTTATTAAACATAAGCACATATAACAATACCTCGGATAATCGGTTCCATCAATATCGAGAAACTTAGTAAAATAAAAATGTAAAAAGTAAGAAAACCGATCATTTCTGTCGAAATAAATATCTTCTTAAAATTTATTTACACAATCCGGACTGATCAAAGCCGCACTATGAAAGGCATTACTGCACAAACAACAATAAACAGCACAAAAAGGTCTTGAGTATATAAATGGAATAAATCCATCACTCCGCTCCGCATTTATCGAATCTGCACTATGCGAGGTATTGTTGTACATACACATATCAGTTTTTCAACCCTTATCTAAATTAGTAAAATATTTATTTTTTTACCGCATTTTTTACAGAATTAAAATTAAATTTCAACTAAGAAATATAAAATATTCTGACAAAAAATCTTTTTGTTTTTTTACAGTTCTTACAAACTAATTTTGACTATTAATTAAAATATATAAAAATATATTTGTTTTCAGTTTTGATAGAATCATTAAAATTATATAATTTTTTTATTTACAAATGTTTATTAGCCCATAGCAGGACTAAAAGGCGATCGACCTTGTATCTGCATTAGATCAATAATTTTTAAGAATTTATTATATATTTAGCTTTAACTATTTGATATAAATCATTATATTAATAATTGAATTTATAAATAATATATATATTTTTACGTTTTTTTTACATTTACATATTTACATTAAAAATAATTGATTAAAAAAAGTATAGTTATATATTTTTGTTTTATACAGTAAAGTGTACAACGAACTTTCGCTTTTAAAGATATTTTTACAATAATGCAAAAAACTGCAAAAACCATCCGGAATATATCGAATTACGTAAGCATCCATCGATATTCGACAAATTCGCAAATTGCGTTTGGGAGCATTTCTTGGAAAGGGATACGGAAATGCAATTATTCTCTTCCGCTGAGCCGCATTTGATATTTACAAAACTGCAGGCGGCTGCAGGAATATAAGAGAAAGGAGTCCAGGTGGTAGGTAAAAACTTCGTTTGGAGCGCGAATTATATCTTCGGATGGGAAATATTTATCTGCTAGTAGTTCTCAAAAGAACTTCCATAATTCACACCTTTGAAATGATTACAAGCGAAACGTTCGACTTTCAGTTCTTTTCATATCGCCGCCGCTGGAAAACTGGAAAGTTTCTTTATGTACGAATTAAATTATGAAGCGTATTTCACGTGGCAGACGAAACTAACCCGAGAGAAGGTATTAAGCATTTCTTTTCTTCTTTTTTTTCAGTTTGTTTGTTCGTTGCGTGCAGATGGTAAATCTTGAGTTTTATTTATGTGTATTTAAAATGCGTGTTTTTTTTTTGTGTTTTTGGAGACAGTTCGAGTGGCAAATATGAGAATAGGCGTGAGAAATGGTCCCGGGACGAAGTTTCGGGGAACCCGAAGCAGATTTTATTCCTCTCATTACCGACAGCCCAGCCCCATTCCGCGCCACCCAAGAAATTTCTTATCTTAAACCCATGCCGTATAATGGAACTCCGTAATAATTTAACGCCTCCATAACACAATGCCGCCACGCTACATAATGGGTCTCGCAAGAGAACGATCTTACATAACAAATACCCTGAAAAAGGGCCCTTTAACGGGGTGCACATTTTTGTTTTATTATCGCATCGGCATTCTATATAAATCACCTTGGAAGTTAGTCCTTGCGTCCACCTTAATTACCTTGTCCTTAACAGTTACTCAATCCAATTACAAAATCTATTATCACACGTTCTCGATGATCTCGCTATGTACATATTTACATTGAATACATTGCGTTCGATTCATGTGTAAAATAAAAATTATGTTCTTTGTTTGCAGCTGATTAGGAGTACAGACTGGAATCAGTGTGGTTGGTCACCGAATTGTGAGACGCTGATCCTGAAGGATTATATCTGGTCCAGGTAATTCGGTACCTGAAGGACTCGTCGTCAGGAGCCGCTGCGATCACCTGGACTAGGCGACCGCCGCTTGTCGACGATGATCCCTGTACGTACTCCGAGCCGCTGCTAAACACGATCCTCGCCCTCCAGCACCACCACTTCTACAACCAAACCAACTGATAAACCAATAATGCCTTTACCAAACAATTGATCACATCAAACGCAGAGCACGCAGAGAGGAAGCCTTACAAGCCACAAAGGGAATCCACAAACTTGTACAGATGAACAAACAAAATAAAGAACTCATTGCTGGAACATGCATCTACACTACAAGCAAATCTCAATTACAAATAAGAAATATATGTCTAAATCAGGTATTCCCAATCTTTTCTCTACTTCTTTTTCAAACGACTCCTATATTGTAATGCACAAATATAGACACAAATCAAATTTCTGTTGGAAAATCTATTCAATAACGTCTGGAATTTTAACGACCCTTTGCAAAATTAATGACCCCATTGGAAATCCCTGGTCAAATTGAAGTTTTTTATAGTTTTCACAGCATAATTAAAATTAAAAGACAAAATTTATCAATTGAATGCACATATATATTATTACACAATATCTAATAAATTCCACATCAAATCTAGAGAAATGAAGTTATAATTGTGATTTATTATTTTCTAAATTTTAATAAATTTATGATGGTGAGACACAATTTATAGTTCTCAAAATATGGTAAAACTATTGAAACTTATTTTTTTCCCGTGCAGGAAGACCTAATGTCGGTAGCCCTTTGCAGCAGATCAATTTGGTTTTAATTTTCTTGTTTTGTTGTGTTCGTAGTATGATGATTTGTTGCAATAAATGTTATTATTCTATTAAAACTGTTTAAAAATAAGACAAATTATTATTTAATTAAAAAATATAAATTGTTTACTTAATTCCATAGGAAAAGGTCATCAAGATAAGAATAACAACTAATTATTTTTTACTAGAACATGCAAGAAAAGTAACAAATTATAATTATAAATACACATTAATTAGCTAATAAAAATAGAATATTTTACTTATCATGTGTGTAAATACTATATGATACATTTAATAATAATATAATTATCATATGAAATCGCACAAAAAGAGACTTCATTGTAAATAGTGTCCCAAAAAGAACTGATATTTTAAATTTGCCACCAAATTTTATTCTCGATAAAACCAAAGTAGAAACTTGTATTTGTTGTCATTAGTAAACATCCAAGTCCAAGATGGAAGAATTGTAAAAATTAATTTATAATGATGTGATGTGAATTGAATTGACCGCCAGGGTAATGTGACTTGACACCGTTAGACTTTTTTCTTTGAGATTACATAAAGAGTACAACAAGAAAATACTCAAAAATGAAATTTGACACAACATTGCAGCCATTTTCCAACAACTATGTAAAAATGTTATGGAAAAAATCATCAAGAGTGAACATTCAGATGTTTTGTATCACACATAAACTCCATGTCTCTACTTTCTAACACAGCAAAATATTTTCAAATAAAAAATGTGTTTTATTAAAAAAAAATATCAGTTCATTTTGGGATACCCTTTATAAAGAACAAAACTGTTCAAGTGTAAAAGTAACAATTTAGGCGGAAGAGCCTGAGATCAAACTTTCAAACCGTATTATAATAAATCTGGACTGATCAAAACCGCGCTATTCGAGGTATTGTTGTATTGTACATCTGTTAAATGATCACTGAATACCTAAAATATATGATGACATACTTTTAATGATTAATTACTAATCTAAATATATTTATTTATTTATTGATCATTGTAGATAATTGAGTAATTGAAATATTTCAACTAAATCGTAAAAGTTGTCCTGCTAAGAATGTCTAAGTTGTGTCTAAGAATGTGCTGCTTGGAGTCTTTTACTTTTTTTCTTTTTAAAAAATGTTTTCAATTTGGTTCTAAATAATCTAGTTCTTGCCTCTTTTTTATTTCATTTGGGAAGCTGTTGTATATTTTGACCCCCTTCGTAATTATGCAATTATTTAGTGCATCCGTCCAGCTTTTCTCGTTTGTGAAGTTTTTTGTTTGTTTCTTGTTTCATATGTGTAAGTCTCCACTCATATGCGGTTTTAAGACAATTTTGTATGTTTTTAATTTGTGATCTATAACTCACTTTTGTGTTTGTATTAATGTATCCCAGTGATTGCCAAACATGATTTTCTTCAGCTTTGTTTGTTCTCTCCCAATTTTGTGTGTATTTATTTGTATTTCCCCATATCACCAGTGCCTACTCTACATGTAAAAAGGGAATGATACAGTGGCGCCCTACTTCCACCCGGCAAATTCCTTACCGACTTGTACATAAAATGATGAAACAATAAAAAATTTACATAAAGTTATTAAAATAATATTTATTTTTGATTATTATTTACTTTTGACTGTTGTAATAAATATTATTATATAATATTAAATTTCAATAGCTTTTTATATTTTATTGTACAATGCATTTTATTTATTATTAATAAGTTACATATAATAGAGATTATAAATTAATTCAAATAATATCAAAGAATAAAAAAGGTTGATAATTATTTACATAATGTAAAATATTTAAATTATTTAAGTAACTCGTTCAAACTTCTCTGTACATTAGTTTTTAAGAAAATACTAATTGGAATTGCAAGGAACCCAAATGCACGCAATTAAAAATGAATCAAATATAAATCCACGGCACAGATGTTCTGTATACCAAATATCATACAGATTTCCCCCTCAAAGAAAATAAAACGTTTCCAAGATATTCCCACACAAACAATATAAGCAAATTTCATATTACCTCAAATATATAAAACAATACTCATACACTTTTATATACAAAGATTCAATATCACTATAGATTACCACAATGATTTGAATAAAATATCTTTTTTTTTTTGTTTCATATAATCAATCAATTCTTATGTATTTCAAATTATGATTAAAAAAGTTTATAAATTTGAAATTTAAAAAAAATCGATAAGAAATACAACAATTTCAAATTATAAGCGTTATAATTAATTTGTAAAAGATTTATAGCTTTAGTATCGATTTCTAATTAAGAATGTGCCAGTTCGGAAATGTATATATATAATGAGAAAGAGGGGAAAAACATAGAGAAAGGAAAACTCATTTTACAATTTAATTTGACGTTCGAATGAAAATAGAAAACCTATTTATAGTAGACTTCATTTAGCAGAATATGCAATTTGCGTTGTATTTATAATAACTTTTTAGTCTCTCCTTAAAATAGTAATTTACTTTGTTATAAGGAGATAAAAAAGAAAAGTATGATAGTAAAGGTAAATTGCTGGCGGAAAATGATTAATAGTTATTTGTAACAGTTGCTTTTTGTTGCAATAAAAGTAGTTTTAAATGATATTAAATTCATTAAAAGACAAGAATGTGTTTATTCTAAAATTCAATCATTTTGTTCTGGTTCTGTAATATTTAAAAAACAGGTCATGTTGACCCATATGTAGTACTTGTGTTTTTTTATTTGTCTGTAGTATTTGCGGGTTAAATTCAAATTGATTTTATTTTCTTTCTAATGTATATGGTTTTGAGGATGATGGAAAATATTTTATAATATAAAAGTCCGCACTGTCGTTTCTTGCTCTATCGTTCTAAAATAGAATAATATAGATTGTTTGTTATGAGTATGATCAGTTATATTTTATTTTATAGTAAATAGTGAGTTTCTAAGACTGTTAAAAACATATTAGGTGAAATAAAAAGTTCTGAGCGTTTTTCGTTAAATGGCTTTAGTGAGTCATATCTCACGATGTATACATTGTATCTTGTCAGTCTATACTGCTACTTAAAGGCGACATAACGCTTTAAAAAAGTTCTTTGACAATTTTGTGTTTAGTGAATCCAGCTGTGTGTTAGAGCGTTCCAAAATGGAGGTAAAAAAAAAGAAAATTCTATACATTATTCAGTACCACTACGATCAAGCGGAAAAGCGGAGCTGGCGGTTAAAAAATTGTGTGTTATGGACCGAATACAGTATCGAATGCAACAGCAAAGCGTTGGTTCCAATGCTTCCGTTCTGGCAATTGGACGTCGAAGATGAGACACGCTCTGGTAAGCCAATCTTCGAACATACTGATAAAATCATGGAAATCATCGAGTCGGTTTGGAATACGAGCACTTATTCCATTGCTCAGGAACTGAAGATTATCTAGTAAACCGTTTGGAACCATTTTCATAAGGCTGGTCTCAAGAAGAAGCTCGATGTATGGGACAAAACGCTCAAAACTTTTTACTTTACCTAATATAACCATCCATCCATAAATGCTCAGATATTTGGAATTTTAATATTCGATCATTTTTTATTCGAATTATTTTAACTAACCAAATGTGAGTAAATTTTTGTTAAATTTATTGTTTTATAAAACATTCTATACATAATACATGTATAAACTTTCAAGTTTTTAAAATTTAAAAAAAATCTTTAAAAAAACATATTGATTCATGAATTTTCAATTGAAAATGAGAGAGATAGTATTAATGAAATAGAATAATGAATCTAAAAAAATATAAAATCCCGGCGTATCCACCCAATGCATAGAAAATGTAGTTATTTGGAATATTCCATAATTATTTTACCAAACCAAATTTAAATTAATTTTTATTAAATTTATTGTTTTAATATAGATTCTGTATATAAGAAATGCATAAACATTAATTTTTTTAAAGTTGAGAAATTAAACAAAAAAAAATTTAAACTATTCACAAAAGTTTACAAAACTTTTGAGATTTATTAAAGTAACTAAAATATGCTCAAATAATATTCTTTTATGTAATTCTTTGAAGTTATCTAAGATAAATTTGACCTAGCAAAAAAAATAATATCTCACATCTCTGAGATCGAGCAAATAATAAATTTCATGATTTTTCTCAGAACCTTAATGAATTTGTACGTTCTCTTCGCCTTATTTACCCATCTTTCCATCTCGTTTACACCGGTTGACTTCTTTACATTCGCCTTGCGAAACAACCAGAATTGCGTGTCCCGTTTACTAAATTCGAATCTCGAAATTAATGCCGTTAATTAGATCACGTGCAAGAATTATTCCATTACTTTCTTTATCCACACATCGATTTCGCCTGTCATCTTCGTATATTTATTTTTTTGTTCCCGCAAATTAATTCCCCTTGTAAATTAAGCTGCTGGGATAAGTAATGAATGTTTGCGGCCGGACCGGTCTAAGTGATCGGTCGCTTCGATGGAAAATCGATCGACCAGTGAAAGGAATTGAATGTTTCCTTCCAAGATTATATAACATACCTCACGCGTCGCAGATTGTCGAGGCGCCGTTGCGAATTGATTAAAAATGGTTTGTGAAATGCGTACACGAAATACGAACAAAAAAAATTAATACGTAACAACAAGAAAAAAACGTTACATGTAATAACGGCGTGGGGTGGGCGAAATCCCCTGCGGTTTTTGTTTCGTTCAATTTATTTCGGATTTATTTCCTTGGTGTCTACTAATTTTGGGATTTACGTTTTGTGTGGGTCTGGTTCTGTGCGTGGAACCGTGTGTACGTTCCATCAGCAAATAATTGGCGATGCGTGCGGTAGAATTCTATCCAGTTAGCAGGGTATTTAATTGCCCCAATTAGAAACGCCCCAGATAAATACACTTGAAGCCTTCACGAAAAAAAAAACATACTCGCAATTTCGATTGCAAGATCTTTGGTAATTGTCACTAGGTACGCCTTTATCTCTAATTTCGCTTACGGTATAAGCGTTTCTCATTTACATTACAACATAATTATAATTTTCTGATGTTAAGTCTTTTCACTTTGAATATTCTAATTTAATTGTACATTTTGTGAAAAGATGTAACAATTATTTCAATTTTTTACTACTATATTTTTTAAGATCTGTATTTCCAGTTTACCGAGAAAAGCTAACTAATTCCCGGGAAAAAATGAAAAAATTCTACTCTCTATACTAAATTGCAATAGATAATCCTAATCTATTAAATGCAAAGTTTTAACAAAAAAAAGCAATGATTAACAAATATAGAATAAGTTTTCAATATTCTAAAGTGCGTTTTTAAGAGTATAAAAAATATAACAAATTATGCCCTTCCATCAATACTAAGAAAATGCTGATATTTGGATTTTCAATCTTCCTTCATTTTTCATTCGAATTATTTTAATTAACCGAAAGTTTACTTGTTAAATTTATTACTTTAATAAATACATAAAAGATCTATAAACTTTCTTGATTCTAAAATTTAAAAATTATACAAAAAAAAAATCTGTAAAGAAAATATATTGAGTAGTTCATGAATTTTCATATCCAAATGTGAAAAAATGTAGAAGTGAAATGGAATAATCAATAAGATTAAAAAATATAAAACCCTGGCGCATCCACCCAATGCATATAAAAGGTAGTTATTTGGAATATTTCATAATTGAAATTTTAACAAAAAAAATAAAATCATTGATAAATGTGGAATCTGTTTTCAATATTGTAAAGAACATATCAGGTCATTTAACATTTGACGTTATATAAATATATTTGTTTTCTTTTCTTTTGTATAAGGAACGAATGGTTGCTTGTCTACAATTGCGTGCGAAACATATTTAATTGTACATTTTGTGAAAAGATGTAACAATTATTTCAATTTTGTAATCCTGAATTTCTTAAGATTTATATTTCTCGTTTTCCCAAGTAAAAATAACATAATTCATTCGGTTGTTGTACTAAATCGAAAATCAAAATTTTAATCTATATTCTATAGTCTAAATGACACATCAGATAATTTAACGTTTATAATCATTGTAATGTGTATACTTGTTTTAATTTCTTATACATACGAGATTCTCGTAAATTTCCCATTTCTCTAGAACAAAAAGATGCTAGAGAAGTTTAGTATTTACGTTTTTATTATGTATAATTATAATTATTAATTTATTATAAACATTATAAATCTATTTTAATTTAAGTTATAACTTAGAAATATTAAATTCTAAATTAAATATTTGAATATTGATCTTTAAAGAACTGCATCAACTAGTATACAAACAATAATAATTATCAATGGAAGGAAGTTTTCATCTACCCAGGATGTAAACGAAGATGTTGCTAACACTTCAAAAGCAATTTCGGCTGCTTTTAATGCAAATACATCATAATTTATGCTGCGTTTTATACGAAAAGTCATTCGGAATATTATGCAAATAACGATTAAGGACTTCCATTGTTTCCTCAAAAACTATATCTTTGCACTCTCACATAACTGGAATTAATTCAATCGAAATTAAAAAAATAAATTAAGTTGTAAAAATGAGCACACGATAAAATTATAATTTTACTCCATATTTATGAATTACGGTTTTTCTTTTATTACACGCTTTAAAATGTTGTCGTCTAGTCTATCAGCAGTCAAGATGAAACACATAAAAGTTTCGTCGTTTAATTCAAACCGTAATTGATCAATAAAGAAATGTATCTCTTTTATGATCTTTTTTGTTTTTTTGGGTTTGTGGTTACGATTCCTGCCAATCAGAGGGATCATGGAAGGCAACCGGAAACGGTTGTTATTAGGGCGTGGAGATATATCAAAGACCCTTCACGCGAACCATAATAACGGGAACTTGATGAAAAGAAGTTATGTCTTTCCGATACAATCAAACTCTGACCCTAAGTAAACCGACCGGAATCCTCGACAAACAATGCAGCAGCACTGATAAAACATATTTCGGTTGATATTTCTTTCTTCGGATTTCACCTACTGAGGAAGTTATTTCATTTTTATTTGTTTATTTTATTTTTTGATCGGTTCTACTTCTTTTTCTTTATGAGTAAGGCCACTTTAAAGCCATCTTTATCCGGGGATGCGAGGAAACTTTAAACAGGATTAGGGCGAGGTAAAAACGGTGGCCTTCTGTTGTTCCCAGCACTCGCAAGCCGATACTAAATAGGGCGTTTACAGTACAAAACCGATTCTCGGCCGCAGCAAAAACCCTTTTGCGTCTGAGACCTTCTTCGAACAGGTTAACTGTAATGATAGCACTTTAACTACACAAAACATACATCGTTTTATTATATCTATTTTCAGTCTGTTATGTATAGAAAACTTACTAAGAAAGTATCCTTCTTGTAAATAAATCTAATATTTAATTCAGAAGCTGCATAAGTTAACAGATATTCCGATCATAAGAAATTCACATTTGTGTCTTCTAAATTTCAATTTCAGGCATGAACAAATAAAATTATTCTTTACAAAACATAAATGAATCGTAAATTCTATTATTTAACAATTATGAATTACTGACTTCACTGAAATATTTTTCAGTTTTTTATTAGCCGTAAGTGAATATAGATTAGGTAAAATGAATATTAATAATGGGACAAATTTCAGACAACTTTTCAGTTATAATCTACAATACCGTCAAACAAAATAAATATTAAATTTCATGCAGATCTAAAAAATAATATCTAATAAATTGTATTTATTTATTAATTGTTTATAATGCTTCAAAAGGGTTCAGACAAAAACACGCAGTAACAAAAGAACGCAACAATAAAAGCTCGCAGTAAAACAACCACGTCAAATGCACGCATAATATTCACTCTAGTGCCTTAGTTTGGTTTTGTATGTATTTTAAAAATACGTACAAATTCTCGTGTATTTGGCGTGGTTGCTTTTGTCCTGCGCGCTTTTGTTATTTTCTTGGGTTCGTTACTTTCTGCATAAGTTCAAATATGAATTTTCAATTGAAAAGTAATGTAAACCAATATATAATTTAATATTGAATTAATTAAAATTTTTCTTTTATGTTATAAATTGATATTTAAACAAAAAAACACATTTTATAAATTTGCTATAATTTTAAAATAATATCATTTAATTATTAAAATATTTTGTAATTTAAATTTTATAGTGAATATAATTGTTATGAAAACAAAAGATACGAAGTGCAGGAATGAAAGATTGATAATCTACAATCACAGTCTTTATGCAAATGCGTGCGAAACAAAAGAACTTACCGGAACGTCCAAGGGTGCTGGCCCTGCCTGGATAAATTGTAGACTCGTTAATCGAAACATCTGAATTATTGACGATCTTGATCTTTCCATTGTTTATCAGAGCTGTCTTCTTCTCGCGAGTGCGCTTGCTGCAGAATGAGAACCTACGAAAGACATCAATAATTAAATCCTCGCGTACACACTTGGTTAACGAATTTAAGAATAAATATACCCTTTGGCGCAAAATATCACGTAGAACGCTTGCCGGAATTTCCGGTTCATGAAGCAGTACGTAATAGGATTGCAGCAGCTGTTTATGTATGCCAGCAGCTGGATCAAGGAGATGCCCATCGGCCCTATAGTTTTGTATAGAGCTTCAGGGGCGTAAAGGTGAACAGTATTCAGTATATGTAGAGGTGTCCAGCACAGGAAGAACTCCAAGACAATTACGAACAGCATTCGAATAACCTGAACGCATATAACAAATGAATTTACACCTTTTTCATAAACATTTTTTCAGTGATTTAAGTTAACCTTCTTCTTGGCTTCGATGCTTTTATCCATGTAGTTGGATCTGATGGCGAATCTCTTGAAGACAACGGTATTTTCCATTGATCCGTCATCGGAAGAATGCGTAGTGAGGACGCTCTGATCAACAGGCATAGAGTATAAAGTTTCGCTTCGCGTCACCAGCGTCGTCTTGGTCTTGTTGTACTTGCTGTAACTTCTTGCTCTCGACCGGAAGTTCACCTTAAATAGTACAATGCATAAAATATATGTGTAACGTCTATATTGAGGAAAACTTTAATGCACTTTGCAAAAGATTACCGGGAGCTGCAGACCATTTTCGTGAATGAAAATAAATAATTTAAAACGTCTTTTGTACATCTCGCGACATGAAACTGGAGACCCTGATGAATGTGCATTGCATTCCTTCCATGAATAATGCATTGCTCTTAGGCAATTAATTTTAGTTTCTCGTTGTCTCAACGCGATTTTGAAGAACAAAGGCAGTTACGAAAAGAAATATAATAGACAGAAAAAAACGTAACTGCTATAATTATAACATTAAATTTAGTCAGTGTCAAGGGCCCAAAATGGAAGATGGAAATCGTTAATGTCTGCTGCAACGTACAAAGACGCGAATTGCATAGAGCTAATATTAATATAATTATCAAACCTTTCTACCGATCCACGTTGTTATAGCTTTGGTTTTTGTGCTGCTCTTGTTCCTTTTACCATCCTGCACCAGTTTCACGTTGGTCTGCAGGAATTTTGTTGACCGGAAGGATCCGCCTCCGTTCAGGACTCGGTTGTTGTTTTTTCCGCAGAGGTCTTTCATTTCCATGGTGCCACGAGATACTGGAAAGTCATACGTGAGCATTCTCTTCTCATTTACCACAAAGAGACTGTTAATTAAATTAGAATTACTCGAGAGTAATTTCAATGTCGGCATCAAATGACACTCGAGCTTGAGATCAATAGAACGTTTCCATTTTATAATCCGTACGTGATTCAGGAAAAAATAAATAAAAGATGAGATTTTCCACAATGGATATCCAATATTATCGCACGTATCCACTAGTGCCAGTGTGCTTCCGGGAATTTAAAGTTTTCGTGCAATTACTTATTATTCAGCGATAATAACATTCCAATCACTTAAATTTATAGACAATAGTAGAAATCTTTTAAAATACTATATTTTAAATATTAGATTTTACAGTGCTACAAAAAGTATTTTATTACTTTAAATTTTACAACACTGAAAACTTATATGAATTTTATTTTGTTATAGAGTTTAATTGTAATTTATTCTATTCTGTATTATAGTCGGTGGCTTATTATGGTCTAATTAAATTGGAATTTGTAATCTTAGAAAAAATGTTGTTGTTTTAGTTTTCAGGTGTCAATATATAAAAAAACAACTTATGGGTTTTGCATCCTATTGGCTCGTGGGCCCACGGTACACTTTGATTGCTTAGCCGCTGATTATCCTCATTCGTATACTAGAAGCTTACCTGGTCTAACTGTATCAATCTCTCGTTGTAGTCCTTTCCATAGCTTATTAACGATGAGGGAATAAGATAAGCTCATCATGCCTAAAGGAACAAGAAACATGATGCCACTAAGGAACAGATTGTATGCGCGTTCACTAGAAGTGCTGGGCCACTCCTCCCTACACCTAAAAGTATCTGAAAACAATCGAAATCTGTGAAATCCTTCACTGGTAACTAGATAATTACTGAGAAAAGGGAGCAGGAATGTGCGTAATGAGATTTGGGTCCGAATCCTCTCCAACTAATAGAAACACAACTCAACAATACTCAGGCTAATGGCATGGCCCACTTAATCGCATCAAGTCTCGCCCTCAACTCAAAGGGAAAACGTCAAGTAGATTATTATATATATATATTTGCGTGGGACGAAAATTATCGAAACAACGAAAAGTAAATATTCCGGATTGATATTAATGGCTTTTCGTAAATTCCCCCGTCATTATTGTCGATTTTATTCCGGCGAGGCGAATGTTATTGAAAATCCCCAACTGATGAAATGCAATTTGCTCCCTTTGTCCGACCATCCCGCTTCCGATCTTCGGTTTACAATTAACGCCGAGCGCGGATTTTCTGGTGCGGAAAAAAATGAAATAATTACGAGCTCCCTTCCATTTTGTTGTTGATGTAGAAAAATATGAAAAAAAGATGTACAGATTTTTTTATTATTATTCTTTTACTTTTCTTTTCTTTTGGTGTATTTACGATAAATAAAATTGAGGTCGTGTTGGTGGCGACGTGAACTTTTGGTTGCGGAAATGGCTCGACCTCCGGAAGTGGTCGTACACTCAAACACACATAGGGCAATAGAAAAGAAGAAAAAGTAAGGATAAAAAGAAGGAATCGAATAGCTGGAAATCCAATTGAAGTGGCTGGGGTCGGCACATCCAAGTGCATGCATATATATTGGGTGTTTTATGGTTTAGTGGTTGCTAATCACTTCTCGTGCATTTGGCCATTCTCCAGTGCATGAGTTATTTACCTTTCAGTCTGGTGGGCTGCAGGGCGTACGTCCATAAAAGGGGGCAACCCCATAGCAAACTGGTGATCCACACGCAAGAGATCATCTTATAAGCATGGAACTGCGTCTGCCAACGGCGAGACTTCAGTGGGCTGCATATGGCGAAGTAACGTTCCAAGGATATTGCCACCAATGTCCACACTGACACCGATATTGACACCACTGAAAAAACATAAGAAAAAAATAAATATTCATGAAAATCTAATTGTACAGTGACCAAATGTAAAAACCAGTTCCTCGCTTTGACACAAGGTGACTCATTAAAATTTTCAGTTTGAAAAATACATCCACTACATTCACACTAACTCAATTTCTATACCTGAAACTTTAAAGTGAATATCCGAGAAATAAAGACAATTTTGCAGATCTTCCAAAATCAAAGTTCACTTTTGTGTAATTTTGTTAAATAACACTACAAAATATTATATTTACATTAAATATGTGATAAATTTGCTGGTAGTCAGTATTAATTATAAAGTATATAATATCAATCAGTCCAAATCAAAATAAATAGTTTTTATTCATAGTACAAAATAATGTAGGTAAGTAATTTCAAATTATATTTAAACTTGAAATGTATTTAATTAAAGCTATACGTAAAGAGCACATTTGTCATATAAGTGAACTGAAAATACTGAAACTTAATACCTTAGAGCAAACAAGGCATGTTTAACGTTGGTAACTAAGAAGTGAGAGTGATGGGATGAGGATGGCACAAGAAGGCCCAAAGATAATGAAGTATCCTGCAAACAATTTTGGTGAATAAGTGTGTAAAAGCATGTTACAGAACCCAAGACAAGAGAGGAGATAAGACAAACAAGGAAGGGCGAACTTTTCCAGCGACATACATCAAATGTAGTCTAGTGGGCCTTTCCGTGCACGTGACACTCCCTGATTTGAACAAAACCCTTGCAACACTAAACAATCATCACGAAAATTACAAACACTTATTTATTTTTCTGAAAAGTTTAAGATTATGTTCATTATTAACAGATTATGTTCATTATGTTCACTACATTGAATATGTCAAAATAAACTAAATTTTAAGTTATAAAAATGAAAATATATTGTAATTAGTACAAAAAAAAATATTTTGTATATATAAATAATGATTTTAATGTCTTCGATTAGTACGGTTTTAACCGCGTTATGTGAGGTATTTCTGTTTCATTTCTGATGCAGTTCGATTTGACCCGGTTTCAAGAATTATCCGACTTGAAATTACGACAGGCAAGGGGTTAATGTGCCAGTTTGAAAAGCATTCGTGAGACGACTGATGTATTGGAAAAGCATGCACATGCGGCCGCAGTTTTTTTTTGTTTCTGCCGCCCCTCTCTCATTTTTTACTTTTGTATTCATGTATGCATTGCATCCGGCCCATAAAATGTTAACGCGAATTGCAAATATCGGTGGAAATAACTGCTTTGCGATTACTGTATGCATGTTGGACCAATCAATCACGGAAAAATAAATTTCGCAATAATAATAACAACAATAATAACAAAAAAATATTAATGGAATTTAATACAAACAAACGGAAATTATTCTATATTAGTGCGCGCAAATTAAGCAGAAATCAAACGAACGCTGATTGAAACGTAAAATTTCGTGTATAAAACCCAATTAATATACTGATAGTCGAAATATGAAAATTACATATTTATTTGCATATAAATATACGGATTATTAAAATAATATTTATATAGAAAAAAAACAATAATTATTACTTAACATTTGATACTTTAATGAAATGGACTAATAAACTTTATCTGGTAATGAAGCACTACTATGTATTTTTATTATGGATCAAGAAATCCATGAAGATCTGCATTTTGCAAGGACTTGGACAACAGATCCGTTTATCAAATATAATATCAATATCATATCGTAATGTCATGTTTGGGTGCTATCATGGTTTTATAAACAAAATATACCCAAGGTATTTGCGATTTACTGCGTCATCCATCGACAACATTTAGTTGCAATATCTTAGTGGCAGATTGCATAAATCTCTTCAAATCGTCAAATAAAACAAAATTTGGAGTAACACGTTGAATACTAGGTTATTTGCAGAGTTCTATGAAGAAATTGACAAGAAGTTTCCTGGATTACTCCACTTCACACTGAAGTACAGTGACTGTTAAAAGGTTTATTTTTGACTTTTTTTACTTTTGACAATATTGAACTGACAAGATGATAACGTTTCAGCCTGCATTCAATATTTAAATGTCCTTCATATAGACTTTAAAACTAGGTTTGGAAATCAATTCATTCGATGACATCAATATTTGGAAAGCTGAGGGTCTACCAAAAACAAGAAAAATCGGCACGTAGACAAATAAGTTTGGGGACCTTTGTTTTAGATAGAAGATTGACCTGAAATGATTACATTCAAGCAAAAAGTGAACAATTCAAAATTCCAGGAAACTCTACTGGCTATTACGGTAAAACTCGCCAATTTCAAAACAAACTGCTGGTTTATATAGTAATTTGAAAAACTAAATATAATAGTGAGGAGTTAATAGCAGATCTAATATTTAAACCATACAAAGATTCTAGCCGAATAGTCTAAGAATGATCGTTGATGCTACCTGGTATATTACGAATAGAAGAACTCATGAGGACCTTCAAATGGAGTCAATTATGAAAAACAGGAAAAATAAATTTCTTATTGTATCTTTGCAGGCTTTATTTTCTTAGTAAATTAAGTAAAAATTAAAATTTTAATTATAAATAATTTAAAGAAAAAAAGCCTACACAGACGAATATTTTGTATAAGTAATAAAATACTTAGTACTGAAAGTTTGTTTTGTCTATTAAAGAGTATTTATCAAATTATCACGCTCAGTTTAGTTTGGTTCTTAAATAATTTATCGTACAGTTTATAATCGTGTTTAATGGGAGGCGGTTTAACTACGCTCTCTGTAAATGTTTTTTTTTGTATGTATACGTAGAAAGGATATAAGGGATATAAAAGGTAAATGCGGGCAGTGCGTTTGTCATTACTTACTTCTTAATGAACAACAAGACCAACCATTCGAGGATTCACGCAATTCCCTCAAAAAAAAAACAAATATAACAGGAAAAAGGAAACAAGGGAAGAATAATCTACATAAAATGTACAATTCCTATATACAGAAATGCGTATTTACATAAGGGATGCGAAGATCAAAACGTAACCGACATTTGCTGCAACCATACATAATTCAACGCAGGAGAAACCCGGTTTTTCGAAAGTGCCATTATTCAAGTTTAAAACAGGTTTCGGAATTTAATTGCGAGGAAATGAAAAAAAGAAACAGACGGTTTAATTAATTGCGGTACGGCGTGTCGCTCTTAAATTGAATTGGCTTTAAGTTTGCTGCTTGCAGAAGATAATTTCTGTGATTGATTAGATTGAGTCGATAAATAAATCAAGATAATTCCTCCAATCGTCGTTTATACAACACGAATTACGTTTTAGACGAAATTAAATCGATGCGTATATGGTTTGGTGTTTGAGACAGTTAAGTAATAAGATGTGTCTATTATTTAGGTATTTGCTCATAAAAGAGCGCCGCAAGGGCGTACGTAATGCGGTTGTAGTACTACTACACAGCGCACGTATCTCTGGTTAATATTACATCGATTGTTGGAAGTTATCTTCAAGATTTAATTAGATTCGACAGCATCGAAAACGTAAATAAGCCCAGCTGCTTTTGGATGAGGAAAGCAGAATCGCGGTTTCTTGTTAGGCTTCATCCTGTTAATTGGTTCTCCTGTTGTTTTGCAAGAGCGTCGAGCATGCAAATGCACCACTTCCAAAAATAAAGAGCACGTCTGCCTTTGTCAGATGACGAAGGACTAAATGCATCTGCTTACACGGAGGCAAATCGATTGCATCATCATCTTGACAACATCTGTATACCAAGAGCTGCTAATTATCAACATCTTCTTGCTCCAATTATTGGATTACTCTGCAGTTTCCACTATGCATTTCATTCTTCAAGCAAAGTTCCAGAATGCGCAGTAACAACTGTTAAGGCAAAAGAAACTTCTCCGAGGATGCATGCACTCGCCTTAAATTTATTGCCGGTGATTAAAACTTTCCCAGGATTTTCTTTATTTTTTATACAAGAACTACATCGGATATAACACTCTACGTGCCGCGCGCTGTAATAAAACGCGATAACAACCACTTTCTAGGTAATTTTTCTAAAATTTATTACCTACTTTTTTTACCTTTTTTTAACACTTTACAAATTTTCTGCAAAGACACAATTAATAAAATTACAACAAAACAATACATTTTTTACGATTATTTACAGGAAATTTTATTAGTAAAACTTTAATTTCATTCAGCATTCTGAGATTAAATAATCCTTAAGCTACGGTTGACCCTAAGCCGGAAATCCGAATTAAATGAATTCAGGTTTATAATATTTGCACGTAAATTTGAAGTTTATTTTAACGTAATAAATCGGATTATATTTTTTTTCTTTCTCTCTGCAACTTCATCAATACTAATTGATCCTGGGCCGGGTGGAATTTACGGGATAATTTCATCCAACTCCACCGGTCGTTTTTTTTAACCCTCGCTCGCAAATAAATTCCCTTTAATATCATCCTAAGAGAATTGAAAGTTTATGATTAGAATCGGTTTATTGATAGAGCGTGGAATTATATTATTATTATTTCAGGTCCTTTCTTCTAGCAACGAGCACGTTTCTCGTCTACTCATTCATATTTTTTTTGTCGTGTGTTATTCCTTCGTCCGCGCTCGATTGTTGTGTCGAAAGGACCAATATTTACATTCGCAATCGATCATGATTTATTCAGAGCTTCGACGATACGGACATTTTCTATTGTTATTATAATTCGCCTCGTTACTTTAAACCGAAACTTTTGAGATGCCATACACTCGGAAAAGAGCAAGTGAAAAAAAAAAGGAGTAGCTGGAAAAAGGATAACTGCCAGTTTCTTACCCTCCTACGCGTTTTCAATGCTATCTAACACTGAATCTCCGAGACAACTTACTACTACGAAGCCCATACCCTTTTTCTTTCGATTTCTCCATTAACAAGGAAAAATAATAAAAAAAGATATACGAATTCCTTTTTAGATATATATGATTTGCATAAAGTAGCCAAAAAAAAAACTATTTATTATTTCATTAAATCGAA